CATTATATAAAATGATGATTCTCCGTAGCTTAAGAAGCCAAACGACGACAAATAAACAACAGAAATTAAAACAGTTGCTATGGATAAATTTCAAAGCAAAGTAGCCCAAAAAACGGATTTAATCGGCCAATCTAAATCCCCAATCTCTCAATTTTTTCTGAGTCATAACAGAAAAGCGCTTGTGCCATGATTTTTGGACCCTTCATTACCTTGATTCTTCAGTCGTCACGCGCGTCCAGTACCTTCTGTCATCGATGCCCGTTATTGCCAATCCATTATACGATATCAACATACATGTCTTGCCTGTTCTCTTATCCAACCACACTTTCTGCACATAATCCCAAAAGACCATATTTAGCTCCCATGAACCTAATGCTAAATGCCAACTTTGCTATATACTCTGAACAAGAATACATATTCTGTACTACATTTTTGTTTCTAATCATGGCTATCTTCCAATGTTCCAAGTAGACATCTTCCAAGCTTACAGCTAAAACTCAACACATCATATGATATTTCCCTTTACAACCTTTTCATGCACAACAAAACAAGAAAAAAGTCCCATTTTTTTCCCTGTTCATTCTAAAATAGAGCAAAAATTGACACAGCCGCCATAGAAATTACAGCAACACAAACAAACCAACAAATAAATAAAAGAATTACACTGAAAAAAACTTGTGGGCTGCTTTAAAATGGCAAAAAGATTGAACCTTTGTGCCCCCATCCAAAGTGTTTGCCCTGCAAAGTAGGGCGTAGATATCCTTCTTACAGAAACCTTTGGGGAAAATGTCCTTTTCCCCAAATACTGCCCCGATTACATCTTCATAGTTCGATGGCAGCTTTGAATCCCAAACGAAATCGGCCGACGAGGCCGCTCTAAAGGCCTGGTTCAACCCCGCGAGCCGGCATATCTGTGGGGGGTCCAGTCACAGAGGCGGATGCACATACATGTAGTTATTATTGTCTCTCATTAATCAATTAATTAATTAATGACTAGTAAAGTGCACGTGCAATGCACGTGATACCT